TGGCCTGCAGGCCACCTTGTCCTCGGCTCCAGGGAGCCCTCGCTGTGGGCACCGCCGGACCCACCTCTGGGGCCAGCCGGGAGGGGCCTGGGAGCAAACCCCAGAAAGCGTGCCCACTGTGGCCCTGGCCCTCTGCTGTCAGTGCCCCCCCGAGCCCGAGGAATCTCTGAGGAAACTGCGTTGCGGGCTCCCCCGCCTTAGTCCCCGCAAGGGCCCCGCCCGGTCCGCCACCTGCCCCAGAGTCCAGATGCTCTGCAGCTTCGTTCCCATCACACACACCCACGGCCACTCAGATGCCTCAGGCCCCTCGGAGAGCAAACGGAGCCTCTCGTCCCTTGAGGGTCACTAGCGTCCGGGCTGAGCCCCAGCCCCACCATCAGATGCCCCTGAAACACGCGGACGGGGGAGCAGAGCGGCCTCTCCTCGTCCCCCTCCCCGCCCCAGGTGCCGACGGCAACTTCGCCTTCAAGGGACCTCCTGCGTGGCCCCGAGCCGCCCTGCAGAGCTGCTGCGCAGAGCCTGGCGGCCCTGTCCCAGGAGACCTGCGGGGCAGCCTGGGCTGGTGTGGCTGCTGCACCCTTAACCCGCCAGCCGCCTGCCCCCCGCCCGCCACCCGCCAAAGCCGCGGTCTCCTCAACCCGCGCCCCGCCCTGCCTCCCGCATCCGAAACCTCGCCCGCTGGCTGCCTCGGCTGCCCGCACAGTGCTCCCCGTGTGGGATGCTCACCCTACTCGCTGCGGGCCGGGTCGCACCACGTGACCCACGTAGCTAATGAGACAGTGTGGCGTCGACGTGGCTTCGTCGCTTCCTGCTGGAAGCACGTGGTGGCCGGTGCTCACCTCCCCTGCCTTGGAGACGACAGTGTGCGTTGAAACGGAGCTGCCGGCAGCCCCGCCCCTCACACTCCAGGACCTGACAGCCCCCACCTGAACCGGAGGGGACAGGAAGTGGTTCCACCTTGCCCTGGGGGCGAGTTAGGGGTCACAGAAGGTTAGCAGATCTGCCAGCTGCGGGCCAGCCTCAGCCCTCACAGCCCCCTCCAGTGATTGCTGGGCACCGCGCCTTGGGCTCCAGAATATCCCGGCCCTGACCAGCCTGCCCTCCTCCCTGTCCTGGACGGTGAGGCCCAACGGGACGACACCTGGTCTGCTGATAGGAGGCCCCGTGGCCGCGGCACGGCCACCCTGGTGGGCGGTCCCCGGAGGGGCCCCTGTGGGCAGGGCTCTGAGCCCTCACCCTAGACGCCCACCGCGCAGGGAGCGACTGCGGTTCAAGGACAGAACGAAACCCCTGAATATTAACTTAATGACGGGGATCTAAAATACTAATGTATTCTAACTGAACGTGCTCTGGTAAGGGATCCGAGCGTCTGCAGCATTCTGCCTCGACTTTCGCGTCTTCGGGAACTTTCAGCTACGTCAATGCAGCTGTCGGAGCAATGCGTGAAAGGGGGCATCCTCTGCCCAGACGAGGGGACAGACACACGAAGGGTCCGCACATCTCTAACGCGACCAAGTAAATCTCACGCCCGAGGCGGCGGAGTCGGTGATGCTGCTTGCTTGGTGTCCCTCTGGCTTTTGCGAGGACCATATAAACTCCCAGTCTCGACGCGGATGTACAACCACAGGAACAGTGGTGGCTGGGCCTGAGGTCCCCACGGGGGCGGGAAGGAGGCGGCCCCACCCTGCAGGTGACAATAGGCAAGTAAAAGTGCCCCCTGTGTCACAGTGGAAGGAGTACCAGGTTTCTATGGAAATGTTACTCCAGATAATTAAGAACGTCCTCAAGGAGGGATGACCTTGGAACCTTCTCCTCGGTCATCCCCAAGCCACTCCTTCCAGCCCGGTGACCACTAAAACTGCAGACTCTACGGGGAAGCCAGAGGTGGCACTTCCAAGACCCCTTCGGATCTGCTTATGGGGAGAAAACCCCCACACTGGGCTCTCTGGGGTCTCCCTTGTGCATGCACAATTCAAGGGTCAGCCAAGCAGCAGGGCAGAGTTAGAAGCAGGTTTGGGAGTCTCTGTCTGTGCCACGCGTTTTACAAGATTCATCCCCTCACGGTCCAGCTGCTTCGTCTGTCCTAAACCCCACCTTCCAACTCCTTGGACCTGTGAGGCCGGTTTTCTGCCCTGGAGAAATTGAAGCGGGAGGGCGGGGTACAGACACACGGGGCTCGGGGAAGGCTGGTGAGCTAGGCCGACCTCACGAGGCCATCCCGGCCCAGGGCTGCTCGGCGCGGTTGGGCCGTCAGCAAGGAGGACACATGCTGCCCACACCTTGCGGAAGCTGCCGGCGGAGACCAGCGGGTCACCGCGCACGGGCCCTGCCTCTTGGGCGCAGAGCTGGGCTGTGCCTCCCGGCGTCCCTGGCAATCAGGCGTGGACACGTGGTTGGATTCTGGCCAGGGGGACTCGGGCAGAACCGCTGCATGCCGTGTCTAGCCTGCCGTCCGGAGTCCTCATGCCGCGCCCCATCTCCCCCACCATCCGGGGTCTTCATGCCATGCTCCATCCCCCCGTCATCTGAGGTCCTCATGCCGCACCCACCTCGCCATCTGGGGGTCCTCACTCTGGGCCTGAGGGACCCCCGGGAGCCCTTCGCAGGAGCAAGACACGAGCCTCTATCTACTGTGCGAGGTTTCTGACGTTTGGGGGTGCTCGTTATAGCTGTGGGGCTGCTACAACCCACACCCCACCTTTGCTCACAGCATGTGTTGGAGCAGGCGTCCGGCCTGGAGGGGCAGCCCCCCCATGGGGCTGCTGGACACGTCAGGGTCCCAGGAGCAGAGGACAGACTCCCTGCAGACCACAGCCACGCTGCAGACGGGAAAACAGAAGGTGCCGGGCCCCGCGTGCCTGGGCCGCAACGATGGAGCCTGCAGCTTCTCCCAGCCGATGCCCGCGCCAGGCCGGCGGCTCCTGTCCCCACTGCCGGGGGCAGAGTCTCCGGGACCTGTCGCCTGCTCCTCTCTCGGGCCATGTCTGCAAGGTCTGTGCTACCTGGCAAATTTCCCTGCTTCGTAGCTGCTCAAATGGGAAAACGCAGTATGCCCACCTCCCCAGAGACATGCCGATGTCATTGCGACGTCATGACAAGAAACACCCCCACCAACACGCCCACCAGGGGTCAGGAGACCCGAGCCCCTGCCCGTCTGGGCGAACTCAGCTCTCCCGTCCACTTGTCGCTGCCCCACGTCCCAGCCCCAGAGACCACTGGCGGTGCGCGGGCAGGACGTGCAGGGCTTCGTTCTCTCCACGGCCCCGCAGGAGACGGACGCAGCAGGACCGATGATGCCGGCAGACGCGGGCATCCTCGCGGGACAGGGGCTCAGCCCGGGCGACTCTGACAGCCAGGACGGCAGAGTACCCCAGCAGGGCCGAGGCGCCTGCCGCGCGTCACGTGCGTGTCCTCTGCTGTGTGAGCAGCACTGGACAGCCCTCGGCACTGCTCACAAACCACTCACTCCCTGCGGTGTTCCTGTGGGGCCCGCGTGCCCGATCCGGCCCCCCGCCTCTGCTGGTAAATAAAGTTTTATCGGCACACTGCCACATCATTCGTTTGCATGTCGCCCAGGGCGGCTTTCATAGTACAAATGCCACAGAGGCCGCTCTGCCTGCAAAGCCTAAAATATTGACTATACGGCTCTTTACAGAAAACATTTGCCTGCCCGAGTTAGATCAACGATTCTCTACGCGAGGTAGTTTTTGGTACAAGCACGAGGCGTTACACGAAACCGAATCACACGATGAAACTCTCGCTCCCTTTCCAGTCTGCCTTCGATCTGGTGACATTCAGGACGAGGCCTCTGGTCCTGGTGCGTCCTCACGACACTGCGAAGCAGCCTCGGGCTCCGAGCGGGACGGCCCCGCCCACCAGGCATCGAGCTCCCGCACGTTGCGCCCGATTTGCGGTCAACTCGATCTGCGGTCAACTCGATCGTGACAAACGGCGCCAGCTTCCCAAACGCGGTCTAAGAGGACGTTTCCTTTCAGGACAAATGTATTTAAATGAAAAACAAATCACCAGAAAAAGAACTCGATGTGGTAGGTGGGAAACGCTGTCTTGCATCTCCCACGACTGGCACACGCCGACCCTCCCCGCCCCGAGCCGCCCTCCGTGACACCTGCTGGGCGTCCTACAGTTTAAGTCCATTCTGACGCACTCTACCCAGAGAGAGTGTCGATCCCACAGGTCGAGGGCTCCGCCCCACAAGACGCCAACCCCAAAGCCAGGTTGTCACCTCTGCTTCTGACCGACTGGCTAGAATCGGAGGCTCCGATGGCCCCTTCCTCGCATTCGGTGAGTGTGTCGAGCAGCTCGCAGGATTCGGGGAATCGGTTGGCCCCCTAGCTTATCAGTTTCTAATGAAGGACATAACCCGGGCCAGCCAGCTGGAAGAGGCGCTCAGGGCGAGGTGGGGGGCGGGCGCGCCATCGCCCCAGCCCCCCATCCACCGCCCCAGAAGCTCTCCGAACCCCGCCCTTTGGGCTTTCCCAGACACCTCACTAGCCAGGCGGGCTCCACGGCGTCACCGGCCGCGGACGTGCAGCTGCCGACGAGCATCACAGTCTTAGTCTTAAGACTCGTGACTTCTCGCCAAGACCATCGTCACAGAGACGCCGTCAGCCCACCTCTCAGTGACTTTGTCACGATCGGAAGGGAGAACAAGCGGACCCAGGAAACGCGTCAGGGGTCAGAGGCCACGGCCCAGGCCCCCGCCCCACCTCCGCCCTCCTCAGGAGTGCTCGGCAGTGACCAAGAGCAGCGAGGACCCTGCCCAAGCAGCCCGCCCGCCCTGGACGACGTGGCCACCTCCCCCGTGTCCTCTGCTCTGTAATTCTCCGAAACACTTGTCTCACTGCTGGAAAGGCAGGGTCTGGACACAGAACCCGTCCCTCACCCCAGGAACAAGGCCATCAGGCCTGGTCTGCTGGATCCCCAGCGGCGTCTGGGCTCCAGCCGAGACCCTCCCGGCCGCAGGCAGGGTCGGCACCTACCCTCACGAGCTGTTGGGGGAAGGGCCCGCGGGAGTTCTCTGGCACGTTGATGGGCGGGATGACCCAGTCTCGCTTCTGCCGCCTCAGCCCGTGGGTGAGCTGGTGCCGCGGCCCCGTTGGCAGCGCGTCGCTCGGGGGCAGGGCGGGGTCCAGCTCGGCAGCCTTCCTCCCCGTCTGTGGCCCCACCTGCAGAGGAGAGAGGAGCCAAGACTCTGGTTAGGCTCCGCCCACAGGAAGGGGCGTCCGTCCAGAGAGCCCGCTTTCCCAGGAGGACAGACGTGATCGGGCCGTGGGGGGGAAGCGGCTGAGTGTCAGGGGGAGAATCGAGCAAGACCCTCATCTACACGAAGAGATGGATTACCGGATCGAAAGGGGGAAGGAAACCATAAAGAAAAGGAGAAAACAGTGTTGACTGTTTAAACAACTGAGTGGATCACGGCTTTAAATCTCCTCCAAATAGAAAAAAAATTACAAAGGGAGAGACCAATACACTTTAATTTAAAACTCTTGTTTATTAAAAGAGACTCTAAAAGTAGTTGATGAGTTTGGAACAATGATGTAGAACGAATCTGACACAGGGTTAACACTCTCATATATAAAGAGTTCTCACAAATCAATAACAATGTTAAATCTTTTTTATACTAGGAAAAAGGCATGAACGGCGGATTCGTAACAGCAACATATGTAAAAGGTCAATAAACTTATGAAAAGTGTTCACGTCTCTTGGTAATTGAATAATGGCGATCGAAGCAATAAATCCTCTTTGCTTATCAAACCAACAAGATCAACCACAGCGAACCATCACCGAGGAGCACGCTGCCAGTCAGTTGGCGGAGGTCGCGGGGCTTGGCGTGAAGCGTGTCCCTGGGGCCTCACACGTGCGTGTGTCCAAAGACTTGTGTGACATCGGGAAAGTCCACTAGAGTCTCCAAGCTCCAGACACGTCCTTTATGATGCGGGGAGGTGATGACAGCGGCAAGTTCAGACAATTGCCACGGGAATCGAACTGATACAAGTCCAGTCCTGGTGGCGAGGTGGTGGGCCTGAGTGGTGGCTGCACCGACGTCCTTGGGGTCACTGCTTGGGTGCCGGCCACAGCCCGCCTGCCACCAGTCTGCCAGTCACTCTCAAGGGCCTCGTAATGCCACAGCTGGAAATCTGTCCCCAAACAACTAGGTGTGCACAAAAGTCTCCGCATTAAGATGCTCGCTGCAGATGTTTTAATAATAATATCATACATATGTATTTAAAATAGTGAAAATTCCAGAGAAAAATCTCCGGATGCCTGATGGTAGTAGTTAAATGCATTTCGCTATGTTTTATCTTCAGATGTCACATTGTCACTAAAAGTTACTTTCTGAAATCCGAGGAAACTTCCACAAAGTAGCAGTGCGTGTGCAGCCGCGTGTTATGCAGCGTGAAACCGTTTCTGCTTTCTTTTCAAGGACAGAGAGAAGACGGGAGGAAACACATCAAATGCCAACCCCGTTCTCTGGTCGCCAGCGGCGGTCACACCGCTTTGTGTTGCTTTACGCCTTTTATCTGCCTGCGTATCTCATCGTTACGCACACGGCTTTCCACGATTCGAAGAGCCGGCAGCACTCACGTGCACCAGTGACGTCCATGTGCACCCCACCTGCGTGTTTATTTTCCAGGTGCCCACGTGGTGTCCCGCGGCGCCGTGTTTGTGTTTCAGACCCGTTTTATTCTGAGTCCGGGAGCTCGGAGCCTGCGTTGGCCCACGTGGCAGAGACAGACCGTGGACGAGGTCGGCCCAAGGCAGAGGGGACGGGGCTGGCTGGGGGCGTCTGCCCAGCCATGGTGGGGCCCCCGCCCTCCAGTGGAGCGCAGGACCCCCGAGGACCGCGGCTGGTCCAAGCATCGCCCTCTGTGCTCACAGAACCTTGTCCTTCACTTTTGCAAAAAAAGCTGCACAGCAATACGTCTAACACATGTACACAAAACTGCCGGACCGAGGCAAAACCAAAAACCTCCTACCCGCCCCGAGTGCCCAAGCTCAAAGCTGCGGAAGAACCCAGGACGACAAGCCACTCTCCAGGGGGAGAACCCCGCTGGGCCCGCCCCGCCGAGGTCCCTGCTGCCTCGTCGGGTCGAGCTCCTGAGTTTGCAGCAACTGAATACCAAAGGCTTCCACAACTGGCTCCCACCTTCCCGAGAAAGGAGCCATGAAGTGTGTATTTCCCCAGAGGCTTCGCCGTCTGTGGAAATATGACGTCACACCACTTCTGTTCAGGTCGCACTGAGAGATGCTGCCTGTGGCGAATCCCCAGTCTCTCGTGATGACGTGAGGGCTGGGTCGTGTCCCCATGAGCTTCACAAGACTGTGTTTAGGTCAGTCCTGGCTGCACGCAGCGAAGGCACAGGCGGCTGCTCTCCGCGCCCCCGGAGGTGTCCCCCGACATCTCCGCCTGAATCCTCCTCATCACCAATGTAGTAGGAGGTGTCACCCCACTTTACTGGGGCGGCCACAGGGGGCCTCGGAGAGGCCGAGTACCTTCTGCAGGTCACGCAGCTGTTAGGCAGAGGCTGGACCGAATGCCAAGAGTGGGCCCCAAGGCCAGAGCAGCAGGCCGAGTGCCACCCCCACTTCTGGGGTCTCTTTGCCCGTGAGGTCGTGCCCCGTTTCCCGGGGCCAGCCCCGCCTCACCGGCGATGCCTGGGCCCCATCGGGCGTCACCTGAGCCCCCTGGATGTCAGACCCAGTTTTTGTAAAGGTTTTTGTCGAGCTTTTAACAAGGAAAATGCTGCTTCGTCTTCGTTTGCTCGGGAAGAGCCGGCTCGGCAGTAATTTCCCTAGTGTTGTCTAAATAAATTGCCCATATTTGCTACTATTTTAAAGCTGTGAGACAAACGTAGTAACAAAATCTGGTGAGGGGGAGAGCCAGGCCTGAGCAGGCTCCAGCCTGGAACACGGGCCCACGCCTCTGGGGGACGGGCGTCGAGGACAGCGGGCGGTCTCCCGACCGGGCGGGCACATCCCGAACGCGTGACCCGGGCTCGCCTGATGGGACGCGGCCCATCCGCCCCGCCGCCCGTGAATCCCGTGCTGCGTAACAGGCGGCCCGCCGGCGTTTCCCATGGCCTCGTGTCCTGTCTCCGGGTGTCACCGGGTAGTGATAAGGGTGCGACCTCTATGCAACTGTTGCTGAGAATTATACACGTAACACGCAGGTGTACAAGGCCTGTGTGTGCGTGTACACACAGATGCATGCGTGCACCCATATGTGTATATGTAGCCACGCATGTGTGCTCATGCATCGCACGCATGTATGCACATGTGTGTATGTGTGTTTCGTATGTTTCTGTGTGTATGATGAATCACAGTTTTCTCCAGACCAGCAGCCTGGCTGCACGCTGGGCTAGCCACACGCCACCACTGGGGGTTACGGACGGTGTGACCCAAGCTGGAGGTCTTGTGCCTGGTGGGGTTCAGGGCTCCCAGGTGCCGAGCTGGCTACAGCCAAGCTCCTGCAGCAGAGCTGCAGGACCAAGAGCAGTGAGGGGTCGCCCCACCCCGCTGCCCTCGTCCTGGACGTTAAACGGGGGTTACGGACGGTGTGACCCAAGCTGGAGGTCTGTGCCTGGTGGGGTTCGGGGTTCCCAGGTGCTGAGCTGGCTACAGCCAAGCTCCTGCGGCAGAGCTGCAGGACCAAGAGCAGTGAGGGGTCCCCCCGCCCCGCTGCCCTCGTCCTGGACGTTAAATGCCAGGGTAGAGGTGGACGCTCAGACCTGCGGGCAGTTTGCGGGGGCTCAGACCCCGCTCCCCGCTGGGCTCCCTTCCACGTCCATCTCCTGGGGCCTGGTGCTCACGGAAGCCGGGATGAGCTCCCCAAAGTGCCGCCCTGACTCCAGGCCCGGGAAGGGCCAGCTCCGGCCCACATGCTGAGGGCCTCCGGCCCACGTCCTGCTGCACGCCGTGGGGGGCGACATGGACCCCGTGGGCCACCCACTCAGCACGGAGCACACGCAGCGTACAGACTTAAATGTGCGGTTCCGCATGCCTTCGAGCGCTAGGACACTAATGGCCCCCGCCCCCCGTCCAGCACCCACGCGGGGAGGGTGGGCCTGGTGCCCCGAGCAGAGCAGAGCCAGGAATAGGCGCCGAGTCACATACGACGCCACACACCTGGGGAGGGCGGGCGAGCCCCACGGGGGGTGTAGCACCCGGCAGGGCGCGGAGGGGCGGACAGGCGTTTGCCGGGGAGAGGCCAGCAGGAGGCGGGTGTGGCGGTGGGCAGCATGAACGTCTCCCGACCAGACACACTCTGCCACTGCGTGCTCCGAGGGCCGATTTGGGACTTAGAGGAAAGTGGGTGGGGGGTGGCAGCGCACACTCGGGGGAGGGGGTGTGGGGCTGGTGTTCTCTCCGCCGGCCCCAGTGCCGTTTGTCTTGCCCCCCAAACCAGGCCCCCCAGGGGTGCGGTGGGCGACGAGGTGGCGTGCCACACTGGGCAGAGGGCTCTGAGTCTCGATCTGCTGTCAGGTTCACGGTCAGGCCAGTTCCCCGCGGCAGTGGGGAGACCTGGGGGGGTGGAGCCTGCAAGGAGCCCCAGGTGTCCATGGGTAGGCTGCGCAGGTGGGCTTGGGGTCCCCTGACCTTACGTCCCAGGCGAGGGGACTGAGGCACAGGGAGGAGGAAGAATGTGTCCAAAGCGCCTGGCCAGTCGGGGACGAGGCCGAGCCGGGTGGCGGCGGCACTGTGGGGCCGCCCAGCTAGGGCGGGAGTGAGCGCGGGTAGGAGTCCTGTGCAGCCAGGGGTCCTCCATGGAGGACACGGCTGCTTTCCGGGTCACCGAGGCACCCCAGCACCCACGCCCGTCCCTTGGCTTCCTCCCAGGGGCCGCCCCAGAACCCTCTCTGGCCACGGGCAGGCGTGAGCGTCCAGCCTGGTCATTCAGAGATTGGTCAAGTTTGAGCAGAGGTCAAGTTTCCCTGTGATGGGCACCAAGGAGGAGTCCCGTGGGGATGCAGATGAGGTGGGAACGCCTCCTACATGCAGAGGGGCAGGGCCTGGGCCAGACAGGGCAACCCAGGGCGCTGGCGCAGAGGGCGGGGGCGGTGGGTCCCCGAGCACAGGCCCCTGGATGTGGAGCCCTCGGGGCCCTGAGGCTTGGGGGGCGGGGCCCCCCCTGCTCTGGGAACAGGATCCCTGGACGGCGGGTCCT